CCCTAAACAAGTGCCGGCAGTGTTCCTGGCCCTTAGATGTCATGCCTGGAGAGCTTCACCTTCAAACTCCCGGGGGCTCGGCAAGATGAGCACACTGAGGTGGCCTTTCAGCGTCAGGAGGTCCCGAGCATAGAGGATAGGGGTTCGCCTGCTCAGGCTGCTGCTACTAATGTGTGCACCACCCCTCTCCCCCCCCCACCACCACCACCATACACACACACACACTCTCCTGAGGCACCTGGAAATGGGGAGCTGTGGCCAGAGCAAGGAGCAGGGGAAGAAAGAGCAATGGCAGAAGGCAGGGAGTGGAGAGCACTCGGCCACCAGGGTCAGCAGCTCCCACCGGGCTGGCAGCCCCTGTCTGCTGTCTTGCGGGGATCTCCCTAAGGATCCCCATCTGGTGGGGAAGATGGCCTTAACACAGGAAGTGCTCAGGTGATGAATAATGTCAGCAGCAACTATTTATTCATCACCCAAACAAGGCCCTGTTTTTTTTTTTTTTTTTTTTTGGGGGTCCTGGTAACAAGTGTGCATTTATTTTTTTTTTAAATTACATCTTATTGTTCAGATTATTACATTTGTTCCTCTTTTTTCCCCCCATAACTCCCCTCCTTCCAGCTCCCACCCCACCCTCCGCCCTCACTCCCCACCCACTGTCCTCATCCATAGGTGCACGATTTTTGTCCAGTCTCTTCCCGCATCTCCCACACCCCTTTTCCCCCCAAGAATAGTCAGTCCATTCCCTTTCTATGTCCCTGATTCTATTATAATCACCAGTTCATTCTGTACATCAGATTATTTATTCACTTGATTCTTAGATTCATTTGTTGATAGATGCATATTTGTTGTTCATAATTTGTATCTTTACCTTTTTCTTCTTCTTCCTCTTCTTAAAGGATACCTTTCAGCATTTCATATAATACTGGTTTGGTGGTGATGAACTCCTTTAGCTTTTCCTTATCTGTGAAGGTCTTCATCTGACCTTCAATTCTGAATGATAGCTTTGCTGGATAAAGTAATCTTGGTTGTAGGTTCTTGCTATTCATCACTTTGAATATTTCTTGCCACTCCCTTCTGGCCTGCAAAGTTTCTGTTGAGAAATCAGCTGACAGTCGTATGGGTACTCCCTTGTAGGTAACTGAGTTTCTTTCTCTTGCTGCTTTTAAGATTCTCTCTTTGTCTTTTGCTCTTGGCATTTTAATTATGATGTGTCTTGGTGTGGTCCTCTTTGGATTCCTTTTGTTTGGGGTTCTCTGCGCTTCCTGGACTTGGAAGTCTATTTCTTTCACCAGGTGGGGGAAGTTTTCTGTCATTATTTCTTCAAATAGGTTTTCAATATCTTGCTCTCTCTCATCTTCTGGTACCCCTATAATTCTGATGTTGGTACGTTTGAAGCTGTCCCAGAGCTCCTTACACTATCTTCGTATTTTGGGGTTCTTTTTTCATTTTGCTTTTCCGGTTGGGTGTTTCTCGCTTCTTCGCATTTCAAATCTTTGACTTGATTCTTGCACTCCTCTGGTCTGCTGTTGGGAGTCTGTATAATATTCTTTATTTCAGTCAGTGTATGCTTACTTTCTAGATGGTCCTTTATCACACCATCGAGGGTCTCATTAGATTTCCTGTACATCTCATCAAGTTTATCGACAGACTCTAGAAGCCTCTTGAGAGACCTTAAAAGTGTGGTTCTGAACTCAATATCCTCCCTTGATAGTTTTGTCCTGTTTCTTTGTCTCCGCATATTTTACGCTTTCTTGGTACACCCCCTAGTGGTCTTTGTGCGCAGTCTTGTTGTAGTTAAGCCTTGATTGTTGTAGTTAATACTAGAGGGATTTGACCTCCAGGTGGACTGGCTGTGATAATCCGCTGTGTCTGCAGTGGAAGAACTTGTGTCCTCTAGGGAGGTGCTAATCTAGCCTTTGCCTGAGGCTATCTGGCAAATGCCTCTGTGCAGGGCTTGGGTGGGGCGGGTCCCACGGGATCAACAGGGTGGAGGAGGGAGCAGTTATGGCTGCTCTCAGTCCGTCCCCAGGGGCTCTGCCTCTCTGTCCCAGCAACAGCTGCAAACCTCGGAGGGACCGTAGCCAGACAGTCCTGCTTCTCCCGTTTGAGTCTGGGTCCCTAGAGACTCGCCCGGATCTGGAGCTCTGAGTCTGAGGCTCCCTCCGGATTGAAACAGACAACCACGCCCTCAGCCACCAGCCCGCGCCGCGCGTACTCCGCACCTTAGTATTTTACTTCAGCACTGCGCCTCCTCTGATTCTTGGTTCCTCCTAGTTGTAGAACTTCCATTCAGCCAGCCTTCCTGTGGTTCTGGATGATGTCCGTTCCGTCTTTTAGTTGTATTTTTGAAGTGGTTGTTCGAGGCAGCAAACTCCAGCGTTAACCTATGCCGCCATCTTGGTTTCTCCCAAGGCCCTGTTTTAAATGCTTTGCATTTATTATCTTCACGTAACAACCCTGTAGCACTCAACTAGCTCCATTTTTTCCCAGAAAATAACTGAGGAGCAGAAAGGTTAAGGACTTAATAAGTAAAGGTTACACTGAGTAGGAAGGAGGTAAGATGCAAACCCAGGCACTGTGGCTGGAGTGTACCCTTAGTCACTGCAGAAGCACTGGGCTTTCCCTTGTGGTCCCTCGGCTCTGGCCAGCGGGGCCCAGCCAGGCCGAGATGTGGGGGAGTGCCGGGGACTAGGGTCTGTTCCCTCCCATCCCTGGAGCAGAGGCTGGCTCTGTGGTGCCGTCACTGCTGCCCTGGGAGAGAGCCCGGCCCCATTACCTGAACCCTGCTTGTCCCTTCTCCCCTTCAGCCTCAAGGCTGTCCTGGCTGGAAGCCCTCTGGACAACACGGTAGACCTGTCGGGCATCCCGCTGACCTCGCGTGACCTGGAGCGGGTGAGCAGCTACCTGCAGCGCTGTGGGGAGCAGGTGGACAGTGTGGAGCTGGGCTTCACGGGCCTCACGGATGACATGGTCCTCCAGCTGTTGCCGGCACTCAGCACGCTGCCCCGCCTCACCACGCTGGCCCTCAACGGCAACCGGCTGACCCGAGCGCTGCTGCGTGACCTCACCGACACCCTCAAGGACCCCAGCAAGTTTCCCAATGTCACGTGGATTGATCTGGGCAACAACGTGGACATCTTCTCCTTGCCCCAGCCCTTCCTGCTCAGCCTGCGCAAGCGCTCCCCGAAGCAGGGCCACCTCCCCACCATCTTGGAGCTGGGCGAGAGCCCAGGCTGTGTAGAGGAGGCTTGGGATGGAACAGTGGACCAGGACCCTGCAGGGGACTGTGTGGCCCCCCCCAAAGACCTGGAGGGCAGGGAAACTGCAGGTCTAGCTCAGACGTGACATGGAAGTGGGGCCTCACCAGGTAGTCCTTGTGAGGTATGATGGCTGAGGCAGAGTCACTACCCAAGCAGCCCCCATGGGAAGCCAGATCACAGAATCTGGGAAAAGGTAACACTTCTCACGGGTCCATCGTACCCCTCGTCCATCTCCGTTCTCTTTGTTTGGCTCCTGAGAAGTCATCCCTGGCTCAGGAGTCAGCCCTCGTCCTCCCCACTTACAGGTTGGGGTGCTGGAAGCGTGAGCTGTGAGTGTAGTTGGGGCCTACATCCAACCCGGGACTTTCCAATTTTACTTCACAGTTGTCCTGTTCAGGGCAGCACGCTCCAGCCAGATGCAAAATGTGCGCAAGGCAGGTTGGCATCTCGGTACCCCATCTCCTGAGTGGCCCTCCGGGTAGGGAGCCTGGGTTCCTGGCTGCCAGATTCCAGGAGCAGTCGCCCTTGGGACTGCAGGCTGCCTACCTCCTCCTTGTGAACCCCTGGGCTCCTTGTAACCGACTTCCAGTCTCAGCCCTTAACCCCATGATTCCAGAGGCCTGGCCATGGAACCAGCCACCAGCCTTCAATGTAGAACATTCTAAGGTATCGGGAGCAGATGGAAGAGCCCACTGAGAAACCCCACACACACTCCCAAAGACAGACTTTACCATGGTTCCAGTGTTGCCAGTAAGGACCCTTTTCCTGTACTGTGAGTCTCTGAATATAGTCCTTAACTTAGCACACCCCCAAAAGCTATCATGGAAGGCTCTTTTCAAACACCCAGGGCAGGAATGCAGATCTTGTCCCTCCGAAGACAGCCTTGATAGGGAAAACGAGGTTCCCCAAAGCAAGTTTCTATCCACCCTTAACCAAGGCCCACCAAGCTTTTAAAAATCCTTTTTAAATATAAACAGCAAATCCTGGCAACCAATCTTGAGCCAGAGTCATTTCAAGTGCCTGATGCTGATTACCTCAGGCCATCAGAGGACTAGCAAGTGCAGCCCCACAGACTAGTAGGCAAAACTCCAACCCAGGAAGGCAAGGTGGGGGCAGGCACAGCGCACTTTAGGAGTTACTAGGAGAGCCAGGCAAAGGACAGTGCCCAAGGAACTAGGAACTAGACTAAGTGTATGGATGCTTAGATGCTCTGGGACTTTTAGCCTTCAAGACAAGAGAAGAGCTTAGACCACAGGGAAGTTGAGTACCTGGACTGCTAATATTTCCCAGCAGTGACCAAGTTTAACTTTCTTCAAATACACATTTTAAGAGCCAATACCAAAGACCATCCTTTATTGTTTATGGTAATTGCATGGATATTAATTTCAGGAGGAAGTTTCCAGCTTAAAGGACTTGGACCCTTGCCTAATATAATACTAAATTGTACATAAGCTCCTTTTGAAGCGAGGGACAATACTAGAAAACTCACGAATGTAATGACACCCAAGTGGTAGTCCTACAAAAAGGTGGTCAAAATCCATTTCTTGGCCCTCATTGGTAAGACTGGCCTCTGATACTTAGCACAAAGTGAGACTTTTTAAAAAAATATATATTTTATTGATTTTTTACAGAGAAGAAGGGAGAGGGACAGAGAGTTAGAAACATCAATGAGAGAGAAACATCGATCAGCCGCCTCCCGCACACTCCCCACTGGGGATGTGCCCGCAACCAAGGTACATGCCCCTGACCAGAATTGAACCCAGAACCCTTGAATCCGCAGGCCGACGCTCCATCCACTGAGCCAAACCGGTTAGGGCCAGAGACTTTTATTTTTAAATGTATTTTTTTAATTATTTCAGAGAGGAAGGGAGAGAGAGAAACATTGATGAGAATCATTGATCAGCTGCCTCCTGCACCCCCCCTACTGGGGATTGAAGCCTGCAAGCTGGGCATGTGCCCTTGACTGGAATTGAACCTGGGACCCTTGAGTCCGCAGGCCGATGCTCTATCCACTGAGCCAAGCCAGTGGGGCAAGGTGAGACTTTCTACACCAAATGCTGAAGCCTAGGTTTCAGTCTGGAGTCCAAATTGATGGTGACTACTGGTCCTTGGAACTTCAAGTTCTGCCCCTGCTGCAGCATGGCGGACCATTCTCTGGAAAAACAGCCTGCAAGGAACTAAGTATCAGTCACACTTCCTACTCCAAACAGCAGTCATGCACAGCATAGGATATCCTCAGAAAACCGTAAGTTCACCACCACACAATCTGCCGGTAATTCCAGCTATTTTGGGTGATTTCATCATTGATATCCTTTTCTGCAAGTTTATGCAAACAAAACTAGCTGCTCATTCATTGACCATGGGGGCAGTCATTGTCCAGATGGAATTTTACCTGTCCCCAGGGTAAGCTGCTGCCGCTGCCACCATCACCACCACCATCACCAGCTTTGGCCTGCACTGGTCACCATTCTTCAGCACTCAGAGCCTGGGGGAACGAACACCACACCCACAGTCAGCAGATGCAGTTCTGATCACAAGTCTCAACTACAAATTTAAGTCCCTGTTAACAGTCCTTAAGATTTAAGTCCTATTTGGCTTCTTGGGTATTGTAAGCGCCACTTACTCAGTATTTTAAACATTACAAACCTAAGGCTTATCATCTTTTAGAATGAAGAAAATCACATGTTAGAGCAGGAAGGCAATTTTCTCAGGATTATACATCCATAAAGTGAAAAAAGAACTCCAGGGTATGCTCTGCACTCTGCTCCACTGCCAATATCTGACCTAGTACGACTTCACCAGACTCAACTGCCAGCTAAGCCTACTCACCCACTCACCTCTCCACAGACCACAGGCTTACCTCGTTGCAGGCCAATGCTCCACTGCAGTCCTCAGCTCTTGCCAGTTCATTCATATGCAACCTGGGTGAATGTAGAAAGTAAGGGTCACAGTGCAGACCAACTTACTCCTGGGCACCAGCCGCCTGAGCCCTGAGCCCTTGTTGACTGCAGTCAGCCAGGAATTATCATCAGTTATTGCTTCTGACGGCACTTCCTATGGGTGATTTCATCAGAGCAGTCAAGCTCACCGTTCCCAGTACTGCTCCAGGCACCACCTGGATTAACTAATGTTGACTAAGCCAGGAGACATTTTAATGGACTTTGTCTATGCGTACAGCTACGACTTTAGTTCCGGTTAGGGGCAACGATCTCCTAGCCATTGCAATTATGCAATGAGGTAGTGCATCATAAACACGTAAAACTACAACTGTACAACGTCAAGGCAACTTCAGGGCATTTAAGGAAACAAGACACCCAAGTTCTATACTAAACCCCGGTAGCCTAGGCCTTACCGCAGGGCGCAGCGCCGCTCCGACCTCGGCCCTCTTCGGTGGGTCGCTGTCGGAAAAGGAAGGACATGCATTTAGGGCGGATTCTGCTGTTAACTGCAACCGAACTACCGAGGTCTCAGCGACTGCGGTCAGATCGTGTGAAATCGTCAGTTATCGCATCTGACGGCACTTCCTAGGATCAGTATCATCAGGACAGTCGACCAAGTCTCCATGCGCCCATTACACGCCACCCACGTGTCAGCGCCCCTGGGTGCAGGGCCCCGCTTACCCAGTTCTCTCGGGGTGGCTCACTCCCAACGGTGAGCCCAGACTCAGGGGTCCCAGCCTTTGGCTGTTGGAGACCGGGTGTAAGCTGACACAGTCCTTGCACCTGAAGGGGCTAGCAAGGCTGGGACCCTTACCCACACAGTTTTCCCAGACTTGTTTGGATGGAGGTTATCAGTAGAATGAGAGCAACCTTTGTAGAATGAGAACAGCCTTTCATGGCTTACCAAGAAGTCTGTAACTATTTACTGAGATTTGCTGTACCGAGAACCTGTCCTTCTGCTGTGTCTCTCCCTTAGAGATTAAGAGGAACAAAAAATACATTCCTCTTGACAGACCTCCTATTCAGTGTGTGTGTATAAAAGGCATTGTGTGGTTAATAAACTTACTGCAGTTCCTCCATTGATCTGTAGTCCTTCCGATCCCGCTCTCCTGTCTTTCTTTCTTTTCTCAATTCCCACCTCCCTACCTCAGCCCAGTTCAACCTGTCAGGCTGGTCCTGACAAATTGGTGCCCGAAAGCCAGGGACCTGAGGACTTGGGAAGCAAACGGTGAGGAACTCCTCCTGATAAAGAGTGCGCTCGTTAAGGTAAGGGAGGAGCAATTTTTTGATAGTTGGGAGTAAAGCATGGGACAGTTAGAATCTAGGAAAAATGCCCTTTATGGGCAAATGTTAAAGTCTATGCTCAACATAAAGGAACTAAGGTTAATGACAAGCAAGTAGAAAGTTTTTAAAAATTCATTCAGGAGGTCTGCCCTTGGTTTCCTGAGGAAGGAACCGTTAACTTAGAAACATGGCAGAAAGTTGGAGAACAAATGCGCAATCATTATAAAGCCCTTGGGCCAAGTAAGACCCCGGTTGATGCATTTTCCTTATGGAATTTGATACGGGATTGTTTAGATCCCAGGCATGACCATAATCAACCGTCTATTAAGCCAGGAAAAAAGGAGAAGCAGTGTGATAGCACAAAACAGGGGTCTAAAAAAGACAGTATATTAAAAAGGAATAATGTAAATTTTAAAGACAAATTAAATCCTCAAGATGAGGAGGATCTTGAGGAAGCAGCTGCCCTTTATCATGATGATGATACAGTGTTGTTCAGGCAAAAGAGGAGGAAGAATATTTTTCTGCTGGAACTGAAGAGGGTAGTGATATGGAGGATGTGTTAGAACACTTTTTAGAAGCATTAAAGCTTCTTGGCAAGAAAAAGAGAAGCCGTGGGGGCCGTTCCCGCTGCTCTCCACTGCCTTGTGCAGCACCAGTTCCACTTTCCCCTCTCCAGATGGCTTTAAACACTGCCTGTCAAGCTGCATTGCGGCCCTATCAAAGAAAGGGGACTTTCTCAGATTATATCCGCATTTGCGCAGATATTGGTCCCTCATATATGCAAGGAGTCACCATTGCGGCCGCATTAATGGGAACCACCATTGAAGGAATTCTTCAGCAACAGTTTAGCACAGGGAAAAGTCAAACACACAAGTGTTTTACTTGTGGAGGAACAGGACACATGGCAAAACAGTGTCCCTCTAATAAAGGGGTTAATAAAGGAAATGGCAGAGGTCCCAAACAACCTGGACTATGCCCTAAATGTAAAAAAGGAAAACATTGGGCAAATGAGTGTAGATCTAAGACAGATGTACAGGGAAATTCCTTGCCTCAGCAGCAGTCAGAAAACTCCTGAAAGGGGTCAGCCCAGCCCCAGCAAATAATAGGGGCATTATCTGTTTACCCTCCTGTCCTTGTGCCGTCTCAAGGCCAGCTGGCTGCACAGCACCCAGCCTGCCCAGGGAGCAAAACGGATACAAGAGTTATTCCGAGCAATCCCCGGAAGTGCCGGGTTTGACCTTGGATCCATAGGGCGATACGTATTAACTCCAGAATTGGGACCACAGGCCATCCCTACAGGAGTGTATGGACCTACTCCTAAAGGGATGTTTGGCCTTTTACTAGGTAGAAGCAGCTTAACTATGAAAGGATTACAAATTTTTCCAGGAGTAATTGATGCAGATTATGAGGGGGAAATTAAAATTATGGTCTCTGCCCCCAGAGATATCATCACCATCACCTCAGACATGAAAATTGCTCAATTGATTTTGCTCCCTCTGCCTGGGGGTCAGGGGTTTTGGCTCCTCGGACAAGGCATATTGGGTACAAGCTATTTCTCATGCAAGGCCTGAGAGAACTTTACTTATACAAGGGAAAAGATTTATAGGGATTTTAGATACAGGAGCAGATATTTCTGTCATAAGCTTAGCTCACTGGTCTAAACAGTGGCCCTATAGAGAAGCTATGACACAACTTCAAGGAATAGGTCAGACCAACTCTCCTTTACAGAGTTCAGAAATGTTAAAGTGGCAAGACAATGAAGGTCACTCTGGGTTATTTCAGCCATATGTCTTGCCAGGGACCCCTGTGAATTTATGGGGACGAGGCATTCTGTCTGCCCTTGTTACCACCCCAGCTCAGGGAAATTTTTAGGGGGTGGTCATTGTTTCTCCTGTTATCCACACAGCTGACAAGATATCTTGGAAGTCAGATGACCCTGTATGGGTAGAGCAGTGGCCCCTTTCCAAAGAAAAAATACAAGCTGCTCATGAGTTGGTACAGGAACAATTCCAGCTAGGGCATATAGAAGAGACTACCAATCCTTGGAATACTCCTATCTACACTAATAAAAGAGAAACATGGTAATTAGCGTACGACCGCTACCCTTTTCATTGGCTAATCAGTGAGTATATGCAAATTAACTGTCAGCCAAGATGGCGGCAGGCAGCCAGGCAGCTGGAAGCGAACATGAGGTTTGCTTGCTGCAGTGAAGGAGGACTCCAACGTTCCCCACCTCACTTGCCGGCCTCTGAGCTACAACTCTAAGCAACTATGTACTATGTTGCAAATAAGAAGATAAACAAAACCCCAGAAACTGGCTTTCAGTCAGCAGGGCTTTAGCAACATTGTATCAGTGTTTTCAGCGGCAAGGCCTCAGAGCTAAAGCTGGCCCAGAATAAAAAAAAAGAAAAGAAAATAAGGAGCAGTTGGGAGCTTCAGTTACTCACCAGCCGGAAAACAGCCCTCAGCCCCTCACCCAGACTGGCCAGGCACCCCAGTGGGGACTCCCACCCTGATCCAGGACACCCTTCAGGGCAAACCAGCCGGCCCCCACCTGTGCACCAGGCCTCTATCCTATATAGTAAAAGGGTAATATGCCTCCCAGCACCGGGATCAGCGTGACAGGGGGCAGTGCCCAAACCCCCTGATCGCCCTGCAGCTCTGTGTGTGACAGGGGGCGGGGCCACAACCTCCCTATCTGCCCTGCTCTGTGCCTGATAGGGGGGAGCTCCTCAATCCCCTGATTGCCCTGCGGCTCTGTGTTTGACAGGGTGCAGCGCACCAACCCCCTGATCGGCCCTGCTCTGTGTGTGACAGGGTAGAGCCATAATCTCTCCATCAGCCCTGCCCCGAGTGTGACAGTGGTGGCGCCCCAACCCCCTGATCGGCCCTGCTGTGTGGGTGATAGAGGGTGGCGCCCCAACCCCCCTCCACGGGCCTGGCTCTGTGTGTGACAGGGTAAGAGCCATAACCTTCCCATTGGCCTGCCCTGAGTGTGACAGGGGTGCAGCGCCCCAACCCCCTGATCTGCCCTGCTCTGTGTGTGACAGGGGGTGGTGCCCCAACTCCCCTATCGGCCCTACTCTGTGAGTGACAGCAGGGAGCTCCTCAACCCCCTGATCGGCCCTGCTCTGTGCGTGACAGGGGGTGGCGCCGCAACCTCCCCATCGACCCTGCCTGAGTGTGACAGGGGGCGGTGCCCCAAACCCCCAATCGGCCCTGCTCTGAGCCTGACCAGGGGCTGCACCTAGGGATTGGGCCTGCCCTCTGCCACCCGGAAGCAGGCCTAAGCCAGCAGGTCATTATCTCCGGAGGGGTCCAGACTGCGAGAGGGCACAGGCCGGGCTGAGGGACTCCCCCCCCCCCCGCCCCGAGTGCACAACTTTTTGTGCACCGGGCCTCTAGTTTTTATTATAAAAAAGAAATCAGGAAATTGGCGCCTTTTACAGGATTTAAGGGCAATAAACAAGACTATGGAAATTATGGGACCTTTACAGCCTGGTCTCCCTTCCTCTGTAGCAATCCCTAATGGGATGGAGCTATTAGTACTAGATTTAAAGGATTGTTTTTTCACTATTCCTCTGGATCCCTCTGATTGCAAACGATTTGCATTCAGTGTCCCATCTACTAATTTTCAGGAACCCATGCGCTGCAATCATTGGAAGGTATTGCCTCAGGGAATGGCTAATAGCCCTACCCTGTATCAAAAGTTTGTCAGGCAATTCGTGGAGTTAGAGAGAAACATCTGCAGGCTTATATCATACACTATATGGATGACATCCTTTTAGCTCACTATATGGAATGTCAATTAGAACAAGTGTATGATGACTTACAACAGGCTCTTCTTAAATCTGGATTAATTATTGCACCTGAAAAAGTTCAAAGACGAGACCCTTACCTATATCTTGGACATATCATAGAAGGAAGAAAAATTCGTCCTCAAAAGATTCAACTCAGGATAGACAAGCTAGAGACTTTAAATGATTTTCAAAAATTTTTAGGGGATATCAACTGGATTAGGCCAACTTTAGGCATAACTACTAATGACCTTAAACCTGTATTTGATATTTTTTGTGGGGATAGCGACCTGCAGTCCCCTCATCAGCTTACTCCTGCAGCCCGCAAGGCTATCTGCCACATAGAAGCTGCCTTAAAGAAACAATTTGTACAAAAAATGGATTACTCACAGCCATGGCTGTATTTAGTATTGGCTACGCCAGTATATCCTACTGGCCTCTTATAGCAACAGGGACCTTTGGAGTAGATTCATCCGCATGCCTCCCCGAAAAAGGTAGTTTATCCTTACTCAGAGGCAGTAGCAGATCTTATTTTTGCAGGACATCTCAGATCTCTGGAACTTTTTGGTCAAGAGCCCCATACCATCGTGGTACCCTACAAGGCTCAACAAAGGCAATGGCTATTTCTTTGGATGATAAATGGCCTCT